TCAGCTGTGGGTTTTTTAATGTTTCAGACACATGTGAAGCTTCAAACAGCTACCATTAATTTTATACAGTAAAAATTGCCTGTCAAATCAGTTTCCAAGTGTTTCTTTCTCTTCAGAAATCTCTCCTGCTGAGAAATCTGTGCAGTCCAAGGCTAGTGACACATTTTTTTGCATTGAAAAAATCCAACTTTAAAAACACCTTCAAAACTAGAAAACAACCCATAAGTTTATCTGAAGGGTGAGAATTATTCAGTTTTTCTTGGGGCTAGTACAACTTCCAGATAAGCAACTTTGAATATAACATGAATATTGTGCTCTAGTTTGCTAAAGCAACTTCCTTCTCTGAGCACAAATCCAATAAAAGTTTTCTTTCATGTTCTTTCTGGAGTCCTTAATTCTCTTTCCTATATCTTCCCCCCTCTTCCTCATTCCCTGCTTGTCTGGCTTGCCTCTCAGCAAACCTGTGGGACAAGGAGTGACTAGGAGTCATGCACAGCTAAACACAAAAAACTTGCAGTACCAGTATCTAGCCTTTCCTTAACCTGGGTTTTGCAGCCTGCTATTTCTAGCACAAATAATGTGAAATGGCAGAACATGAAGGGATATCAAGGCTATATAGCTTACCAATGGACTTTGAGTTTGACGCTTCTGGCATTTCTCAAGATATGGGACATTGAAGAGGTCTGTACTGTATACTGTGTTCTCTCATTAATACTTCCTACAGTCCTTTTGGGGCTCTTGCTGGAAGAAGGAAATGTTACTATTTTTCTGCTCTTGCATTTCAGTTTTTGATTGGAACTTGGAACAGAGGCACTGGCAGGGCTCGTACGCCACTAAGACATGATGAGTTGTCCTAATTTTTTTATGCACTTCTCATCTAACAATGGATATCAAAACAAAAAATAGGTCTATTTTCCATTCCAAATATAAAGGACTTCTATTTTCCATTGTGCCTGTCAAAGAAAGAAAGTGAACAGTTTATATTCAACCACTTCAAAGTAGCAGATTAAAATCAGCTTTGTATTAAAGCAGCATACCTCCCAGGAACTGGGACACTAACTGTGTATGGCACTTCCTAACAATAACAGGCAGCTAGATTGTGATTTCCAGAGCTTTCCAGTTGCTTTCAGCAAGGTGTCATGACAAAAATTCTGATGCTTATTTGGTTTTGCCATGCATTGCAGGGGGATCAGAGCAATGTGAGAGCTCATGTAAAAAATTTGCTCCCACTTGTCTTAAATTCATCTGACTGCTCTCTCAAGCACAGTATTGGTTTCTCTACTTGAGAGAGCAAGGGTGATTCTGTCAGAGGTGGTCAGGCTGAGTTTTGCTTCTCATTCAGTCTTTGTTTGACCATTCTCTGCCTGCTGTATCAGTTTTTCTTGGTTCTCTGGGTTTTTTTCAACCATTTCAAGATGGTATTAAATATTTTAAAAACATGAATGCAAGCAAATAACTAGGATGGACTAAACAGTTTTTGCTTTTTTTGTTGTTGCTGCTGATTGAAAATATTTTGTATGTGAAATGCATTATGCTCAAAGTTGCATTCCTGCTCAATCTGAACATGCTACAATTAGTTCCATGGATAGAAATGGAATCATTTGGGTTATGCAGCAGCATTATATTCATGTGGATGTCAAATTTGACCCTAGCTGAAGAAAATGCATAGCTTTGCCATTCAGCATTTCCGTACATTATATAGGACTTTTATCACGTATATTGTATTTCTGTCCAACACCCAAATATACTGAGGCAGGAACATCTTATTAATGGCTTGGGCTTATACCTTCAGTGCTAAATATAAAAATACTAAGAAGAAGGACTATGCATCAAATGCAGAATAATCGGTGAGAAGGCCACTTAGGTCTTTCCTTGCTTAAGGAGGGAGCTAATTTGTCTTCTAAAGACTCAGGTTCTAAGGCTGATTTTTATGAACTGGGAAAGAAGGACCACATCAACTTCATGCTGGTGTTTATGCAGTAGATTGTTTTGTTGCCTGATGAAACATTGCTGCTATCTTAGTCCAGTATGTCAGAGAATCTTTTAAATCTAAAACTCTTATCTTGGGGTGGGAGTTGGAAGAAATAAAAAAATGCATGTACCTTTCTCATGAAATGAGTAGTGTTTTGAAAAATGTAAATTTTCATCCCAGAGAATCTTCTGGCAAGCTAGTATTGATGGGAGGTGAAAATAAATACAGTTTAAATTATATTTTCTTTTGATATGGCATCACACTGTAGACAATAATGCTAATATATCTTAATGGCTGTGCCTTTTAAGCGCTGAGTATCAGTCAAGCATATAATTTCATGTTGTCTGGAAAAACATAAAAAGGAGTATCTAACAGGACAGAATAAGGAACCACACTCTAGAATAATTACTTATTGTTCCCTTGCTATAGAGCTCTATCTTTTAAAAAAATACAGTTTCCTAACCCTTCTGTGTTTGAATGATTGCAGGTGTTTTACTAAAGTAATAAACTCTCACTAGTAAGAGGTGCAGAAAACTGTTCATAGTGGCTCCAGCTTGATGGTGCATACCATTTTGCCCACTGTTCCTAGAGTACGTATATTCTTTTTCCTTACACTTTGTGGAGTTGCTAGACTACTGCAAGATTTTCTTCTCCTTTTATTAAAAATCTTAAACAGCTCCATAAATCTACAAATTCCAAGTCATGTGGAATCCCATACTTTGTGCTTTATTGTCCAGTGCCATATTGTAATGTTTCAATTTTAGCTACAATGCTTGAACATAATTAAAATTATATACATGAGAATTTTTACTTGCGTGTCTCCAGCAACTGCTATTTTTAAAGAAGAAACATCACTTACAGCAAGGTTTGGTAAGATCCTAAGACGTAGCTCTTGGTAGATGTTGCTGTTGCGTCCTACAAAATTTTGAAATGTCATCTTTATTAAATGTTTCAGTGAACTTTAAGATGTTCACTCCTATGCATTTTTTCCTCTCTTGCAAGATGCATGCTCACTTCAAGTTTGTCAGTGCTGCCACCCAAGCTGTTCAAAGTCATTTCTGTGTGTGAGGGGAGAAACACCCATCCGTCATTTCATTTACACCTTGGGATGACAGCAGCTGGGGAGGAATAAAACAGCTGAAAAATTTTTATTGGATAGAAGAATAAGATGGTTCTGGCATATCAAAGTAGATATGTGTGTAATAGGGTCTCTGACTTCCACAGCTACTCTCTGGTGCTAGAGAAGATGGGCAGCTAAACACATCAGTGATGAAGGCAAAATTTCTAGCAGGGCTGAACCAGCCTGTGCTAGTTTGCAGCAGCCTATTCCAAGAGGCAGGTGAGCGCTCAGCAGGTGTCAGTCACTATTGGCTGGTCAACAACGTTTGGCTTCCTTCATTATTGGAGCCTTTGCTGGCTCTGAGACTATGTTTTATTTCTGGACCTATAACATAGAGGAATTTTACACTAGATACATGCAGTATTATGGGAAAATCTCGGAATAAATCCTACCCTTGTCCATCACTTAAAGCCAGAGAGCGCATGAACCGTGCATACCGAATGATGCTGCTCCAGTGATGGCCTTGGGAGGCCTGACTGAAATGATTAATCCCATTCCTGCGTGTTAACACCATTTCTGCCCTAAATGCCCTAAAGAGACTTAAATCAAGACAGTGATCAGTATCCTTAGATTTAGTGAGCACTGTGTTTTTATCCCCTCATCTTAACCAAAATCATCCTTCTGCATTGATCTGTGCACTCTGCAAGGGTTTCTGTCATTACTGGTAGGCAGAATCAAGCACCTGCACTATTACCCTCTGTTTGCAGTATTGGACCACTGCTGTTCATCTGTAGTGGATTTTGGAACTGGCTTCCTCAACGGCAAACATTTTTCCCCTTCAAAGGCTCAAAATAAGGGTTGGAGAGGAAATAAAATAAAGTTAGTGCTTTATTCAATACATGTCTATTTAAGATGATAATTAGTTTGATTTTCTTCTGCTGGATATTTTTTTTACTTTCCCTTTCTGATACTGGTGCAGTGATGCTGTAATGTTCTCTTCAGTGACAGTGAAAGGTTGCATTTCACTGATCCAGCTCACTTCCATACTTGATACCTTGGTGGTTTAATGTTCCCAGTAAACTGAGCAAGTGAGGTCACAAAAGGTAACAACCTTTTCTCCTTCGACTTGATTTTTACCCCCTTCCAAATATATATGGATACATATATACAAAACACACTTTGACTTCAACTGTCTATACTTCTAGGTGACCAAGTTTTGCCCAAGAACCTATTATCAGATTTTAATCTTATTTGTCCGTGAATGAATTCTTTGTATAAGATAACATCTATGCTCACATGTTAACTTAAACTTAACTGCATGTTTGCCTTTTAAGTTAGGTGGGGTGTTAAAAAAAAAAAAAAAAAAAAAAAAAAAGAAAAAAAAAAAAAGAAAAAGTAAAGGTGAGTTGGTAGAAGGCTGCGTGACGGCGGCCTTATGCGGGTAGCCAGGTTGGTCCCCTCGTCAGATGGGCTCCACGGCCACTTCCGAGCCGGCCCTGCCCGGGCTGTCCGGCCCCCGGCACCGTTCCGAGCCTGTCCGCACCGAACAGCGGTCACGGCTTCGCCGCTGGGCCGGGCGGGCACACCCGGGGGGTGAGGCCGCCCCGGGAGGTGAGGCCGCCCCGGGGGGTGAGGCCGCCCCGCCCCGCCCGAGGGCCGCTCGTGGCGGCGGTGGCGGGCCCNCCCTGCCCGGCCCCCGCCGCCGGCGCTCGGCGCTCCGCAGGCGGCAGCGGCTCGTAGGCGGCAGCGCTGGCCCGCCCGTCTCCGTCCCTGCATCCCTGCCCGCCTCTCTCCCTACCTGCCTCTCCCGCCGGGGCCAGCGCCAGCCCGGGGACCCTCTGCCACGGGGGCGCCGCCTTCCCCCGCTCGCTCCTTTCCTTCCTTTCCGTTTCTTACCCGGCCGGTGAGAGCCGCCGGCTGGCCCCGCCGGGAAGGCTGGGCGCCCCCCAGCCATCGCTGCTGCTCCCCATGGGGATCCGGGAGTTCCCCAACGGCTCCGCGCGGGGCAAAGCCGCCACGCTGTGAGTACCCGCGGGGCCGGGCGGGCGGGCCGGGGGGACGGGGACACCCCACACCGCCCCACCTCACCTCACCTCACCCTGGCCCGCGGCGCCGCCCGCTCCGTGGGGTCGCTCCGGTGGAGGGCGGCGAGGAAAGTTGTGGGCGCCGCGGGCCCGGGCCGGCTCCCCTGCCGGCGAGGGTCCCGCCGCCCGCCGCCAACTTCGCCCGGGGCCGGCGGAGGGCGGCGGCGCTGGCGGCGCGGCCCCGGGCTGACGCCCCTCTCCCGACCCGCAGCGGCATGCGGCGCTCCCCCGATGTCAGCCCCCGGCGGCTGTCCGACATCAGCCCGCAGCTGCGGCAGCTCAAGTACCTGGTGGTGGACGAGGCCATTAAAGAGGACTTGAAGTGGTCCCGCTCCGTGGAAGACCTCACCAGCGCGTCCGTGGGGCTCACCTCCATCGAGGAGCGCATCCTCCGCATCACCGGCTACTACGGCTACCAGCCCTGGGCCGCCAGCTACAAACGTGAGTCCCCGGCACGGGCGGGCGCGGGGGGTTGCCAGGACCGGGGCGAGCGGGCGCAGCCCGGAACCGGCAGAGGGATGTGGGTTCGAGGGGCCGATCGCTTTACCGTGGAACAAACCTCGCTCCGTGCAGGGAAGTGCTCTCACTCTCGGCGAAGAATTCTGTGCCCGTGTTGCCTTAGTCCTTTGGCAGTGGCTCGTTCACGAGAGAGTGGTGCTAAGAATGATGACAGCTAAATTCTGCTAAGAAAATAGGTCAAATATTTGTCTTCATGTTGCAGGCACACTTAGCGACGGTGATTACCGTGGGTTGACAGCTCTGTAAAAGCCCCTGCACGCTCATGCACATATCATTTTCACAAGTAAAGCATTATCAGTGTCTGTTTCTGTTGTTTTAGGAGAAAATTTCTGTCAAATTTTCGCAGCACTTGAGCTGAATGATCTGTCTTTTCCTATGTCGAGTGGAGCTGTTTCTTCCGTATGCATACACTTGGGAAAGAAACTTCAAATGATAACGATATGAAGAGAAGTGTAGCTGTCTTCCGTCACATACATGATTTACAAAGGAAGCATTACCTCGAGTCATTGTAATATATGAACTAGTACTTTTTGTGTATATTTTGTCCATCTTTCGTCATGTTTATGTCAGTTGTATGCATTAAAAAGTTCTAGAATAGTTTACCAAATAATTGAAGTTATAACATTATTTTGGTTGCCTTAAGGTCGTTTGAAATATCACAGGGGTTTTTGTTGATAAAAGGATTCTTCTGTAACAGAAATCATTGCTTTGCTGGAAGCACTAGCTCTGATAAAGTGGTTGTTTTTATATCGTACTTCCCTACGTATTAAGTGCAAATGTTCTGAAATATTTACTACTGGATTATCTGTTTGGCAGTGTGATTAGTAATGGAATAGGACGATACAAGAATGCATGGCACACAGTACTTGTTCAGTTTTTCTCTGAGGGAGAGCTGGTCCTGATTGCCTGAAAATAGGACTTTACTAATAAATATTCTAATACTCTTCTGTGAGAGCCTTTTTTTATTTTTTCTTTGATTGCAATTATACAGAAATATCAGATATTTGCTACTTTACTCACTAGGAGTATGGTATTTCTATAAGAGCAATTCCAGTGCCTGGATTTGGGCTGTTCTTGAGGGTCAAGCTCATTCAGGCCAGTTTTAAGGATCAGATTATATGTGGATGCCAGACTGAGTTGGATGTTAATGGTTCTATCTGACAGAGTGACTAATAGTCTAGCTGAAGTCACACTGAGCTGCTATGGCTGAACCTTCTGAAATAATAAAGGTCATGCTGGCTCCTCAATTATAACCTATTTGTTGAAATTTATAACTCTGTCTGAAAAAGTTAATAGCAGCCCTAAGTCTGCTATTCTAGTTACATTTTCTCTCCTAATTCGTTCTGAATAACAAAATTACCTACTTGAATTATAGTGGTGGGGGCTAAATATACAAAGTGTCTGAGTTTCATAAATGTATGTCTAAAAATAATAGGTTATGTGAATGTGTTTCCAGTTTAAAATCTGAGTTACTAGGAACATAGAAGGACACATAGAAGAAAAGATACATCTCTACAGCATGGTTTAAGGAGAGCCATGTTGTTTGCATCAGCTGAATAGCTGACTGAATAGGGTATATCATCTAAATTGGGAAGACAGCTTTATCATCGCCTCTTTGAAACATCTTTGTTTTCAAAGTTGGGCTGATATCTAATTTTGGGATATGGACTTCCCTTGTGACTTTGCAGTTAAATAGAAACTTTGCAATTTTCTATTTGTAAATAGAATTTTATTTGGCTGAAGTACTGCAAACAAATTATTTTCACTAAGCTTGAATTGCAACCTGGGTACTTTTTGTCATCTTATTTTGTATCCTTGTAGACAATTGGATGCACTATGATTATAATTATGGACTGCATTAATAATGGACCTGCTTTTCAGAAAAGAAGTCCATAATATGGTCTGATTTAGATTTATGTAGTCTATCTTTCTTGGTGACATTCTTTTTATTGTAGCTAAATTGCCTGTAGGGTAAAGTCTACCTCTTTTGCACTGCAGTATATTCCTTTCATACTTCATTTACAGTCTTTATGTATATATAGCTGTATGGATGGATGTATAAAATTGTTTGAGAGATTCAGAAGGCTTTTGCTTATTTCGTGGTTTTTGTTTTAGCAAAATTCCATTAGGGAAACTACCACTGATAAACTGAGATAGTGTTACCATGACCCCAAAACTTGCTTGGAGAACAATTTGAAACATACCAGGATGCCTCAAGGTTATGTAGCAACTCCAGTATTTAATAGTCTTATAAATTCGTTGGAAAGATAGGAGGAAGAAATGAAAATGTGCTTAAGACACAAACTGGTCTGGATTGGACAGAATGAGAAAGGACTTGTAACATTACTCTAGGGAGACCTGTCCCAGCCAGGTGACTTGCTGAAATGCCAATAAATGTCATTCAGTTATCACAAAACAGAAGCCTCACGTTTCCTGAAAATGCTAAAATTACCTGCCAACTTTCACATTATATTGGCTGGTGATTTTGGGACTGCACACAGCTCAGGGAAGACCTCTGCTGTTTGACTGCACTTGCAAACCAGATTTTAGGAGCTGGAATAATGTAATGTAGTTCCTGTGTGTTAGGATGCCTTCAGCAAATTTAGGGTAATTATGGTTATCTGCTCTCAAAAAAATATTACTGGAGGCTTTGATGAGCAAGGAGAAAGAGTACAGGCAATCTGTAAAGAGCCTCAAGCTCCACCTTTTGCTGTTTACCTTAAAGAGGTTGAAACAAAAGTATTGGAAAGTACTGGCACATGTTACTTAGGCAGGTAGAGAGGTTTTCTTCTTACTCATAAGAAAAAAGGTCATAAGAAAAAAGGTAGATAGGAAAAGAAGCTGAAAAGTCATCAAACTATCACTGATAGGAAAAGAAATAATATTGAAGAAAACATGTAATTTATTCTTGAGATGAAGATTTCAAGGAATTATAATAGCAGTGATAAGATCTAGAATTGTGATAAAATAGGAAACATGCTGGAGATAATATTAAACTTCATTATCCAGAATTTGAATTAGCCCCTCCTTAGACTGTGAGGAGACTTTTCTTGAGGGTTTCTTGTGCTTCCCTCCGTAGCATCTGCTAACCTTTAGAAAGAGGAGTGTTCTAATGTGATCTAATCTGGTAGTTCTTATTTTTCTGAATTCTTTGATTTCCAGGGTAACTAATTATGTGGTTAACTGCTCTCCAGTCTAAATCAAATATTCATATGTGTCCCATGGGGAATATTTTGCAGAATGTGATTTGATTTTTCAAATATAAAGACAGAGGGGAAGAAACAGATAAGATGCAGTCAGATTGCAGAATCATACCCTTATGCAGCTACAGATGTAACAGAGCTCAATATTTGTGAAATTCCCATTATCAGTAACAGGTATGTTGACTTTCATTTTGTTTCCTTTTAGTTAGAACATAGGGATCAAAGGCTTTGATAAAAAAGCCCCCAAAACAATGCCAGGAGATTTGCAGATCCCATTGACAGTGTTTTTGTTGTATGGAGATGAAGCTGTTGTTAGAGCTGTATTAGCACTGCGGTTCTCTTCCATGAAGGTTATGTGAATTCTTGTGATTTCTGCCTCTGGAAGCCTGGGACTTCAGTTGAAGAGCAGAGGCAAGTTTGGAGGTGAACAGCCATATTTTAAGTTTCCATTTCACAGTACTGTCTGTTGGAATTAGTTTTCTAAATATTTTTCAAAGTATAGTTCCCTTGGAGCTTTTCTGTACTTGAGAAATACAGGTGTCACAAAACTCTTGGACTGCCCTCCTGGTCACTATGGAAGACTTGTCTATTTTAATGATTGTAGCAATTGGCAGGGTGCTTGTTTCCACAGGAAATGTTCACAACTATCACCTTTGCCAAGCATTCATTTTTCTCTAACTAGGTCTATTTTCTGGTGATTCAATATCACAGTGTGTCATTATGTGATTAGTATTTTAAATACATTCATGTGGGCTTGAGCCAGCTATCCCTATTTTGCAATCTTCTTCCTACAGATCACCTGCTTCTACTCCTTGTTTAAGATTAGGGTCTTTCTTTTAAAGCAGGGACTTTTGTATATCCTTAGCATGTGTTCATAAATACAGACTTATTATGGACAAATAAGGATTGTATAGTCCTTGGCCTTCCTCATTTATTCGCTTACATTTTTTGTGTGATTACAGACGTTTCCATACCTGCAGAAAGAAGAGAATGGTATGTAGTTTTAACTCTTCTTGGTTCTGTTTATTAGGAATTGACCGCTGTCTGTGGATCACAGCTTGTGAACGTACATTTCTCAGAGACTTCCACCTTGTGAATAATTCCAGGTTGTCCCAGTGATAACTTTTAAGAGACATGATGTTCAGGTGAAAGGGAAAGATTGTGTCCACTAAATGAAGTTCTCTGGCTTTGCTTCTCCCTGCTACTTTAAATATTAATTTTCATATTTTTCATGTTTCTTCATAGTTATTTCAGCAGCAACAAAATAAACCATATAATTTTAATGCATAGAATTTCAATATAGTACTCATCCAGTGTGTAGCACATTAGGTCTTGACCTGAATGTGGAATTTAAGTGCTGTCACCAATATCAGTAACACACTGGAACATATTGGCTGAATAGCCTGAAGATTGCTCAGAAAGCATAATTGTCTGAGTATGCCAATCACAGAATTATACCATAGAATGATTTGGGTAAGAAGGGACCTTTAAAGTCATCTAGTTTCAACCCCCCCTGCCATAGCCAGGGATACATTCACTGGACCAGCTGGGTGAAATCCTAATCCAGGTTTGCCTTGAACACTTCCAGAGATGGGGTACTTCTAACCCCTCTGGGCAGACTGTTCCCTGTTATAGATTTTGAGAGCCTTTCAAGGTGAGAGTTTGGTGTTGGTTTTAGCTAATTACATGTATGAGCACTTTTAAATATTAGAGTATCAG